AATTAGCAAATAAATTTGTTTTTGTAATTAATATCACATTAATTATAAAATAATTAATATCACATTATATTAAGCTGTATTTAGAGTAAATGAGATTAGGAATAAGTACATCATTAATTATAGAGCTTTAGGTACCTAACTTGTTTTAACAGGGTTAGAAGTAGGTACACGACCGAGAGACCTATGTGAACCTGGCACCCGACTTTTAAAAATTCAAAATTTTTTTAAAAATTCTTATAGATTTTCTTTTGTAGTTTGTAGTAACAATATTTTCGTTTGTAGTAGCTCAAGAAAAAAGTTATATGACCTATAAAAAACCCATCCCCCCAATTTAGCCACACTTAAATCTGATGGTTGATTCCTATAGAAAATCGTTTGTAGTTGATTGTAGTGAACGAATTTTCGTTTGTAGTTCTAGCAAGGAAAAACCGTTAGAGCTATTTTAAAAATTTGCCTTGAGTAAATTTAGAAAGCGCTTCTAATTTCAAGTTTATTTGTGTTGAAGTTTGTAGTTGCACATATTTCGTTTGTAGTTCAGCGAAAACTAACTAAAAGTCACTACATTCCAAACTATCGCTCCAAAATCGTTTGTAGTTGTTTGTAGTAGCGTTTATTTCGTTTGTAGTTGCATGAAATCTGACGAAGTGAAATCCAATTGGTAAAACCAAAGCCCCTCCATATCTTTTTAACCGTTGAAAATATCGAAAAACTAACTCTTTATCCACGAAATTTGAATAATTCCAAATATTTCGAATTTTGACCACCAAAAACGGCGGTGACAACATTTTTATCATTAAGGCGATGTTTCGCATTGTATTAGCTATAATCCTATCCAAATTTGGTCAGTATAACTCTTTCGGTTTCGAGAATTGAATACCTATATATGTTTTCAGCCACGAAAACTGAATAATTCCAAATATTTCGAAATTTGATCACCAAGACCGGCGGTGACAACACTTTTATCATTAAGGCGATGTTTCGCATTGTATTAGCTATGATTCTTTCCAAATTTGGTTAGTGCAACTCTCTCGGTTTCGAGAATTGAATAATATGTTTTCAACCACGAAAAGGAGATTGGAAATCCAATTAGAAATCCAATTGGGAATCCAATTGGAAATCCTATTGGTAAAAACAAAGCCCCTCCATATCTTTTTAACCGTTGAAAATATCGAAAAACTAACTTTGGCGTCCCTCTAGTCGCAAATGTAAAAAGTCACGTGACTTAAAACGTGCCCTAACAAATCCCTTCCATATCTTTTTAACCGCTGAAAATATCGAAAAACTAACTCAGGCGTCCCTCTAGTATTATATTCGAGGATTCCAGCAAACCAAACCGCACCCTTCTATGTCGAAAAATAAAAATTTTACGGGCTGTTCGACAATTTCAAAAGTCACGTGACTTAAAACGTAACCTAACAAATCCCTTCCATATCTTTTTAACCGTTGAAAATATCGAAAAGCTAACTCTGGCGTCCCTCTAGAATTTCGTCCGAGAATTCCAGCAAACCAAACCGCACCCTTCTAGGTCGAAAAATAAAAAAGTTACGGGCTGTTCGCCAATTTCAACAGACACGTGACTTAAAACGTGACCGAGAGGGCAAATTTGTCTTAGATCAGGCAAAGAAACGGCATTATCAGTATGGGTTAAGTCTTGCTCCCGATCGGTCGTGCTGCCCTGTAAAGAAGCGTCCAATAAAGTTATATTGTTACACGTTGCGTTTTTCTTTGGATGAACTCGAAGCACCCATAATAATAATACAAAGAAGCCAATTGAAAATGCAGAAATATTTGAAATCTATCTATCGTTGCATTCGTGTTATTCCTTGCCAAAGCTGATGTTGGAACGGTTGTAAATTAAAAAAAGTAATACAGCGTAAAACTTCCGTTCTAAACCTCTTAAATCTTTCCAAACGATTATTCGTCTAAAGCTGAAATTACAGATTATTAATATGTAATACAGAAACGAATGTTCCATCAAATTGCTCTTCATCGAATGCTGAGGCAATTATTTTTACGTAATATATTACGAAGGCCTTATATTAGGAAGCATAAAAATCAAAAAGTGACAGCTCCGCTATTAATTTTATGTTAAAATTGGGCAGAAACAATAGCGCAATCAGCAATTCAACCGTGGATAATTATATGTGGTTCAAGAAACGAGAGGGAATACGTACGGTGTTATAATTTAAATTTGGGCGGGGACACGGTTAAGGCGGGTCATGATTTGCTTTTACTTCGTCATGCTTTCAGTTGAAGCCGCAATTAATTATTATGAAGTTGAAATACGTGAAAGGATAAACCACATTTTTCTAAATAGTCCAAGCATTATTGAGAAGTGCTTGTAGAAGTTATTACCTGGAAAATATATGACCGTATGGGAATTTAAATTTGTAAGTCGAGTTTATTTTTCTTTAAACTCGATCCAAAATGGCGAACGTGGTCAAAAAAATTCGCATAGTTGCAAAATACGGTTTGTCTTAAATTACTAAAAAACTATAGCTCCGATCGAAAAAGTTACATGAGAAAGTTGTAGGTTTTAGAAAGATCTGTCGACTGATTTTTATAAATATCGGTTGCTTTGTTACATTTCGAGATATGTATAAAAAACGTTAAAAATCTTCTTTTTTCTCTTCTATAACTCGTCTACATTTATGTGCCCATACTTGTTATTTACTGTAAGTACAGATCGCGGCTAGTCAAAAAAGTACTTTTTTGAAAAATTGAAAAATATTAAAAGTTTTTCACGAATTTTTGGTGTACGTTTGAGATATTATAATTTAAAATTACTTTAAAAGTATAGAAATTATTTATTAAAGTATAAAAATTACCAAATTATTTGGTAAATTACAAAAATTACAAAAAGTATGTATGAAATTACAAAAAGTACGTATTAAATTACAAAAAGTACAAAAAATTACCTGAAAGTACAAAGATTTTTTGATTATTGAAGGTACTTAAATAAAATGGTCTGATTAAAAATATTTCATTCAGTTTTCGTGAAAATATCATAGAGATACGGACTAACTTCTGTTGCTTTGCCTACATTTACCTATCTAGATAATGTTAAAAAAACAGTCTAGTTTGTTAATAGTGAAAATAAAAATAAAAATTTTACTAATAAAACAAATTGCGTTTCTAAATCAAAGAGTAATTTCAAAGAGTAGTTTATTGGGAAATAATAAAGTATGACGGCATAGAAATTGTAAAAAATAAGTAAACTTTTATTTTAAATTTAATATAATATAAAAATAGTTTGGTAGAACAATTT